GTCTAACGTCGAACCAGTCCAGTGTGGAATGTAAAATGCCACATATGGAGTGTCAAGTATAGTATGTCAAGTCTCCTGCACATTCCTTCCCTCTCCCCACGGATTCCAAAACGGCACTCAATATAGCCTCGCACTGCCGCCTCCTCCACCAACCCCCGCCGAAATCCCTCCCATCCTCTCCACTCTCGTCTCCCCGCTCCAACTAGTTCCTGGCTTTCGTCCCCTCTTCTCAGGTTATCATAATTGATCATAGAACTGATCGTAAGTGATCGCCAGTGATCACAAGGTTGGAAGATCTTTGGTCTCCAGGATCGCAAGATTATCCTTTTTGGCCGAGAATCGGAGGCCTGGATCCCCATTGATGTAGCACATGGCTTTGTTAGGAAAATGGCTTGTGTGTACCCTTCAAAATGGCAATTTTAGTGGGGACAATGATGATCATCCATGCGAATTGGGGGATTGTATCCAATTTTCAGACAAAATTATTTCATTCCTGTTCCGACATTCATCACTGACCCATTGGAAGCTTTCATTCCTTCACAGGCAGAGTCCCTTCCAAGGAAGCTGCTTGCCTGTGACTTGTCTGCGGTGAAAATCTTCAAGTATTTGATGTCACTCAAGCCGTGGCTGCTCCTGTTGGAGTGTATTTCCTAATCATGAAATGCAAATCTCCTTAATATGAATGAATACTCCTTACTGTTGGTTGATTAGATTAGTTCGGGGGCTATTAGCCTACCCTTGATATTATATTGGGATATATTGGGTAGTGATCATTATGTTCGCCGACGAGGTGGGGAATTCGGCAGCTTTGAGTGCGAAGCCAAGCCTGCAGAGTTTACCTTTTTTGTCATCGCACTGCCCTTTTTGTATTTCTGCAACATCAATTGCCCTGCCAAGCTATTAGTGCTCATGGTTTTTGTCCGACATTCTCGAAAACTGATTGGCCGAAGACCGCACAAGGACTTTCATAGATCTGAAGATAGTTGCATGCACATGATCCATCCCCTGCCAGCTCAGGTTCAATGCGGTTGAACTGAGACATCCGGCAGCTAGGCCTGCGGTTAACGTAGCGGTGATCGTCCTCGGGCGCTAGCAGTGGTGTGCCAGGCACTTGTATCCGAGAAATTCTTCGGAGGCGGACCACTGCCAGAGCCAGAGATTGATACCCAAGAATTTCAACGGGAAAAGATGATGATCAACTACTGAATTTTACTGCCTTTGGCTGACAGGTTGATACCCTTGTCATTGCAGGCGCTTTGGCAAGTGGCACGTCGCAGCTCGCACGCACTGTCAGAGAAGAAACAGCTGTCCCTGCTGCTGTCAGAGATCCCATATGGAGGTCTCTTAAGTCATAGGGATTCCCTACCGTACTGTAGTACTGTAGTACTAAAAGGGTCTAATTTGGATGGGGTTTTAAGAAACCTCCATATGTGGATGAAAAAATGATTCCGACAGATTGTGGCCAGAGGTTGCACAATCCTTTTCACCTGTGCTGGCCTTACTTTTTTTACTTCGGATCCAAGCGAGCAGAAGATAGCAAAAGCATTTAGCTCCAAGACTCTCGAACCAGGTTTATTCTGAGGCTGGAAGGCCACTGAACATAACGACCAGGTCTCTTCAAAATAGGTGGTTGTGGAGCAAAAGCTATGAGGCTGGTGTAAGCCGACCACAAACTCCCAGCAGTCCAGCCAAGGATGCATTCAACCATACCTTTGGTTTGGCAGCTTCATCATCCAGACTATGGTCTTTGTATCCCCAGGCTGGTAAGTTGAGTTGCAGTCAAAGCCATGAAAAAACCAATTTTGTCCCTGTACAGACTACTATTTACATCATTTTACATCCATTTACCCCAGAATTTGAAACTGGATGGGACAATAGTCACATTGTCTGCACCTTCGATCTGAGACACGGAGAAGGTCAGAGTTAGATATCCGCCTGGCTTTCCACAGCGCAGGGACCTCAAAGCAGAGTTTTTGTACCCCTTCCATGGAGTTTTCTAAAATGGGACAGCCACATAGTTGAATGGGAGACATAACAAAAATGGAACATTTTGGGCCAGAAATTTTGGTCTGAATCCAAATTCCGAGCTTCAGAATCAGACTTCAGACTGCTTCAAATCTTGCATTTGCAGCGCAATTTTCTGCAGATTGCGTAGCTTTGTGCAACTTCGCATGCATTGCACAGCCTTGCGCAGAGTGTACCTTGAGGAAAACTGACGTGGGATGCTTAGGCTTTCCATGCTCGCCGGCAAGTTCATTTCTGGAAAGCAGCTCGACTTAGACTTGGAAATTGGTGCTATTCATTCGAGCTTTCGAATGACTGGATAGGTATGGGTAGATATTGCCAGCGTCATGGGATTTGCGGATCATCAAAGGCCTTTAGCAGGCACTCCAACGACATGGCACAGATCCTTGACAGCACAATGCAGCTCAAGCTGTGAGACCAGATGAAGCACTGTGTCCCAGAATTGTAGATGTAGCGGGACATTTGCAGGAACCCCCTCCAAATCCAAATGAGCAGCATCAAAAACATCCATAAAGGGATTTAGTATTCGGGTTCATGTAGGGAACCTTCCGCGAAAGCAAAACCTCCACGCGCGAAAGCCGTGCGAAAGCTCCGCGAAAGGAGTGCGCCAAGGTCACGCCGCGAAAGCGGCCGCGAAAGCAGATGACTAGTGTAACATCATTTACGACGAATATTTTCCGCGAAAGCCGCCGCGAAAGATATTGCGAAAAAAATCCCGCCGCGAAAGCCAAAACTGTGCGCGCGAAAGCACCGCGAAAGCCGTCGTGAAAGCTTTTCTATAGTAGAACCAGATCGCTACCCGGTTTACGACGCCGCTCAAATGGCGGTAGAAACCATGGTTTCCATACACTATATATATATATATGTATATTATCATTATATTTACATAATCATATTTATCTAAGTATATTTTTTGTCTATTCACTTATATATATATACTAGTAAGTATACGTATGTTTAATTATATAGACGATTACTAGTATACACACATATATATATATATATTACATGTGTTTTCCGGTTTCCCTTACTGTAAACCAATCCATTCACTGCGTGTTTGCTGGGTTCAGTGTCGCCAAGGATCTCAGATGCTGAGAAGCCACAGAGGCCATGCTGTGTTGATCTTCAACAATTCAGAAGTGATGAGCTGCTTAAGCTGAAACGCAGACAGGCTCGTTATCCCAGCGCAGTGGAGATTCTGGTGGGGCCCCCTTGCGGACTCTTGGACAGACGTGAATGCCGCGAATGTTGGTTCTGACTCCTCATGACAAAATTGGCTGGTCGAAAAGAGGTTGAACATATACATATGTATATATATAATTGTATATATATATATATGAATGTGCATATAAATAGATACTGGTATGTATGTATCCATTCTGGTATTTTTGAAGATTGTTTTAATCACCAATGATGATCCATGGCTCAGGAGATGCCGCCGCTTCCTCTAGGCCTGAGCTTCCGCCCAGCGACGTGCGTTTCGGGGTTTCGGGGTGGCACCATATCATATGGATCCTGAGTCATCCTGAGTCCTTTGATTTGCCACCCCATATATATATTAATTAATATATGATTATGATATGTATATGACTGTATATGCATATCTATATATCCATATGTATATATATCTATATATCCATATGTATATATATCTATATATCCATATGTATATATATCTATATATCCATATGTATATATATCTATATATCCATATGTATATATATATATCCATATGTATATATATATATATATCCATATGTATATATATATATATCCATATGTATATATATCTATATATCCATATGTATATATATATATATCTATATATCCATATGTATATATATATATCCATATGTATATATATCTATATATCCATATGTATATATATCTATATATCCATATGTATATATATCTATATATCCATATGTATATATATCTATATATCCATATGTATATATATCTATATATCCATATGTATATATATCTCTATATATCCATATGTATATATATCTATATATCCATATGTATATATATATATATCCATATGTATATATATCTATATATCCATATGTATATATATCTATATATCCATATGTATATATATATATATCCATATGTATATATATCTATATATCCATATGTATATATCTATATATCCATATGTATATATATCTATATATCCATATGTATATATATCTATATATCCATATGTATATATATATATCCATATCTATATATCCATATGTATATATATCTATATATCCATATGTATATATATCTATATATCCATATGTATATATATCTATATATCCATATGTATATATATCTATATATCCATATGTATATATATCTATATATCCATATGTATATATATATATATCTATATATCCATATGTATATACATATATCCATATGTAAATATATATATATATATATCCATATGTATATATATATATCCATATATATATATATGGATATATATATATATATGGATATATAATTATATATATATATATGGATATATACATATATGAATTAACATATGATTATGATATGTATATGACTGTATATGCATATCATAAATGGATATAAATGGCACTGGCCACCCAACAGTGATAGGAGAGCAGGTTCCAGTTGGGATCTAACACCGCTCCGGCCAGGAGCCGATGCAACTGCCAAGTGCTACCCGCGAGTGATTTTCGGTCGCGAGCTGCTTCGAACAGGGCCACCCAGCCGAACGGTGGTTCAGAAACCACTAATATGTATATAATATATACATATAACTGGGGATATTCCATGTATATATGAAAATCACTTACTATCTTACTGGGATGCACCCCCAAGTCATCCCAAGTCGGTGCTGATTTGTGATTTGTTGCAGGGATGAACGCAGACAGGCAACGCTTTTTTGTGTCTGTGAGTCTAGGATGAGATCCTTCGGCAACATCGCAAAAAGACATAGAAAAACAGGAACAAACGCCATCACGTCCTTTCAACAGGAATACGAGCGAATAAAACTGGGGGGAATCAAACACTCCCAATGTTGCTGGTTGCATCTATTTGCATCTTCTTTTTTTTGGTCTTCACCATTCCTCGGTTGAGGCTTGGCGGGTTCGTGACCCCCCGAGTGGTGACCTTCTATCATCGCTATCTCAACGCCGTTTTTGCCCAGAGCCGGGAACGTGAAGGACACAGCAAGGGCTCCTACTGGGCTGGTTTATGAAAAAAAAATGCCAAAAAAAAACCTACTTAATTTCTGGGTTTACTAAGCATAACATTCCCCCCTATGAAAGTGGAGCCTTCCGCGAGGACCTGCGACTGGACGAGCTTTTGACGCAGAGCTGAAGATGTATGGAGCCATGGGAGTCAATCCCCCGCAGCTCAGCTCACCATAAATTGTCTTTGGTACCTAAGAATTCTGGGGACATCCACATTATTTAATTCTTGATATTTTTTGATCATCCCAATTTGATCCAATTTGAATGGACCATAAATTGGGGTATCCCATAATTTGTGGAAAAACGCTTAGAAACGGGGAACCATCCCAAGAATGGTTCTTGTCCAGTTTAGGAATTGAATTGATATGATATAATTTGTTCAATCTGGTGGAGTTTTTTTTCACAGTCAAGGTTCCAGAAGCCACCTGAGAAGATTATGATTTGGAGAGTGGCTCAACTGTGAATATATGATGCTACTTGCAATGCAGTCATACCATGTTATACGACCCTTTCCATATACGTGGGAACCTCCATGAAAACTTTCAAAATAGGTGTCCGCCTTCTTGGTTGTAGATCTCATATGATCTCATTAGATTTCATTCTCTATAATCCCTCAAAAGATAGAAAAGTCAATCCGACTGAACACCTCCAATTCCACATCCTTCAACATCCCGGTTGAGATTCCCAGAGGCAGAGACAAGACGCTGCGTCCCTGTCGCAGATTCTTAACTGAAAGCTTACCACCTGGCGGGTGATGAAAAGTGATCCAAGAAATGGATGAAAATTGAAACCGGAAACCATCGGAAACCGGAGACAGCCCCAGCTTTTTGGAGGGGGACATCTATGGTTTCCGGTGAAGATTTCACTGAAACCTATTATTTCAATAGCGTTTCACCAAATTGACAAGGATTTAGATTCCTGACAAATCCTTACAGTTTAGAAACCAAAGCCAAACCATTCATGTCCAGTCTTCAAAGGCACGTGAGCACAGCTCAGGATAGCTCCTGGAGGTCCGATGGACTTGGACTACTTCACTGCGGATGGCTCCAAATACCTGACCCAGCCACCAGCTCTGCTCCCTTTGGACAAAGAGGTGCTGAGTAGCGACACAAAGAATCATGGTTTATTCATGCTTTGAATCACTGGATTGGTTTAAGGGAAAATTTACAGGAAAGCCCCATACTTAATGGGAAAATCTATGGTTTCCTGTAGATTTTCCCTTAAACCAATCCAGTGATTGAAGATGTGCAGGAATGATCCAAATCGTGCCACAATGAATTTGAATGTCGTTGCCAGGAGGTGGTTCAAGTTGACGATGAGGCAGAGGTGAAATGGGCACAATCCACGACCAAGAAGGCGGCCCATCCACCAACTGCTTGGAACATGCCACATGTATCATCACATGTATCATCATGTACTGTATCTGTTTGATTCTATTGATATAGGGACACACCGAAAACAAACAACAACAAACAACTCTTCAAAATTTTCCTGGCCCACAGCCAAACATGTGGTCAGGCTCTCCGAAATGTCAATGTCCTTTGGGTGCAGAGACCAAAACGTCCTGGAGCCCAGCTCCGGGAGGTTTTGATCTGATGATTTTGATGGTTTCCTTTTGAGTTTGAGGTGCGAGCCGATGGATTGCAAACATGGAGGAGATTCTCAATTGGCTTCAAGGACTGGGATGAACTTCAGCTTCAAAAGATGTGGAAAACCGCTTTTCTGATGTGGTGAAGCCAAGAACAACATATCAACATTTCATAAACCACCGATTGGGGCTGGTTTCTATGACTCATTTCAGAAACACAAACAATTTGGATGGTTTAATTCCCGTGCAAATTTTGATATTTTTTGGTAAAAGCCAACTGGAATCATTGGAATCGGCAAATCAGGATTTGAACACCCGCGCTTCAGTGACCTTCGCGTCAGAGTGCTGGTGGCCCATTTCGAGCGTTTACATCCTGCAATTCAGTGGCACCTAGCGAGACACGCGGACATTTTGGTGGGCGTCACGGGGGCGGCTATGGCCTGGGGTGCCTTCATGCACCAAAATGCGGTCATGTGGGGAAGCTTAGATGAGTTGGTTGGTTGATGTTGGTTGAAAAATGGTGATACCTCATGGCCACTTGAGTAGGGAAAATGGTACTGGACGGAATGGGGTAGCCCATTTGACAAAGCTAAATAGTCCCTGGGCTCATCTATGTGATGATAAACCCGCAATGATTCATATTTTGGGCCGAGAAGCACCAGCGCTGCCTCTCTTGCCCTGAGATTGGACCTCTTTCCACCGGGCTCCAAGTTCTGCAATGAAGGCGATGCTGAAGATGGAGACATTTTGCTGGGAGTGGCTTGAAACTGGGGATGCCCTAAATAATCACAGCTACTCCATTATTTCATGAAGTAGTCTGGCGGGAAATCAGGTTCGAACCTGAAAGTAGGACACACCAAAATCCAATTGTAAATATCATCATGTTCCATTAGAATGGCTATACAATGGCTATACATTCCTGTACAGTATCCCCAATAGACCTATTTGGTATGGAATCGAGTGGAGGACGGGCAGCTTCTGCCAATGGACAGACCAAGGCTGGGGAAGCAACACCGTCAGCCCTTGGCTTGGAAGACCGTCCCAACATTGGATGAAGGGAAGGACAGGAAGTTTGTAGGTTTGATATGGTTTGATGACATTTGGGGATGGGTCAAAACCCTATCCCCCTGGTGAACATCAAAATAGCTGGTAAATGGATGTTCATCCTCCTAAAAATGGTATGTATAGGTATTGATCCATAGCCATTTGATTCATGATTTCATGAAAGATGGACATCCATATGGCCCATACCCATGTCAACATGATTCCTGCAATGGCCACGTTGCTGCGAAGCCCGGAAAAAGATCCCAAGGCCATTACGGAGGCTTGGCCCGGCTCAGTGGAATGCAGTATACCTGCATGGAGCACCCGGCTGCTTTGCACGGGCTTGCAACTCAGAAACGAAAGGGACAGGGGATCAATCCATGTGAAGGTGAAATTATGGAGGTATAATGATGCTCCGATTATGGAATGGATCACCATACCCGCTACACTGATGTGTTGCCGCACTACCTAATCGGACTGCAATCAGCAACATTTGGCAGTGTCTGATAATGGGCTGTACCCCCGGCTATGGCAATTTTAATAGGTTAAACTGATGACATCAAACTTGGCCCTATTTTCCAAGAAAGCCAATTGAAAGAACTGTTCTTGCCGACAAGGTCTGAGAATCCCACAAGCCAGCAAGAAGCGTTGTACCTCGCAGACAGGGAGGTCAAGGAAAAGCTCCAGCCTCGTCGTCCGCAGCAGCAGCTGGAGCAATGGGAGTGGGAACAGCCAGTGTGACAATCCGAGGTTTGGAGGATTCTGGCATGGTCAAAATGTGCGCTTGAACATGCCAGAAGCCTAGCCCCCCGGGTTGTTTCTATATTTTACCAAGGGAGGGCTCATTATCTCTTGGGTCTTGTCAAAATGTTGGTCATATATGGATGGGTCAATGTGTATGGTATCATTTTTAGTTTTTTTTTCAGCGATAAAAACCAGACTTTTACTGTAGGGGAATATTTTGATGTTCACCAGGGGTACAGTTTTCATCAGTTTTCGGCGTGCTTGACCCATCGATCAGGCCGAAGTTCCAACAGGTATTCCTTGAAGCTGTCGCCAAGGCGCCTCGGAACAAGGGCCGACAGGTCCAAGATAGCAGTGACCAAAATGACAATGGGCCTTGACTACGAAAAAGGGGATCAGACGGTGTTACAGCACTTACTTATATAGTTAGCAGTCTAAGTTGGATTATGTTAGATTAGGATAGATTTAGAGATTGCTACAACCCACTATGGGAGCCCTCTTTAAACCAGAGACTAGAGTGGGGTGAGCTCCCGATTTTGATGCCAGGTGCTGCCCTTTCTACCGCCAGAAAGGACTGCCCGGGCGGAGGATTCTGAAAATGCCAAATGGTAGTTTGAAAGGGGAGAACGATGATTAAGCATAAGCTTTTGGGGTACCCTGTTTTCAGACAAATCCAAGTAGAGGTCATCAAGGCAGTGACCTGTTTTCTCAAGTGTTTCTCATAAGACACATAGACATCTACATTTCATTATATGTCTTTTTGTCTGTGGTTTTCCAATTTAGGAGACCTGGGATTATTAGCCTGGGATAGCCTCAATCTATGGTCATTTTAAACATATTTTAACAAGGAAACTTGTGACCAACCGATTTAACTATGGTTTTTTTGGGTGTCCTGCAGTGTCCTGTGTCACAGGACCGCCGACCATTGAGAGCTTCAGCGTGCAGATCTTCAAAGTCAAGTGTCACGCGCTGTCGCCCATCGGTTGAAAATTGATGTTCTCATCTATCCCTGGATCATACCATATCATACCAATTGTCCACTGATTTGGGGTAGAACCCCCATGGTTCTACCATGTGGTAGCCCAGAATCAGTTATGTGAAATTTGTGAACATTGAAACCACAGTGGCAGGGCCAGAAACGATATCCCTCTCGCAGCCGCTGCAGCCAACTGCAGAAATTGTGGAGAGGGGCCTGTGGCCAAAGCCAAGACATGTTTTTCAATCGTATTCAAAAGTGATGTCATGCAAAGTCTTGAACACAGGTTACCCTATGGAGGTTTCCTAAAATGGGGCTACCCTCAAATCATCCATTTTAATTGAATTTTCCATTAGGGTGTATTGCACCATCCAGCTATTGCGGTACCCCCATGGCACACGGACTGCCGACCCTCAAGGCTGGCGCATCTTGATCAAGTCAGATCCCCCTTTTGGTAAAGTCCCCAAAACACGTGTGGCTTCACGGAAAATGTCAAGTCCCGCATCTTCATTATACCAGTAATACCGCACAAGGCGGTGGCGGAAGTTTCAAGGATAGGACACTATTGGAGAGGTGAGTTGTTGTGGTGCATGGATGGCAGAGCGAATCCACTGATGGACGGAAAGGTGGTTGGAGTTGTGCTTTTTGGAGTGGTTGCAATGGTTGCAGTGGTCACCTCACTCACAACTCCTGGATGCAATACTTGTAGTTGTAGTTGTATCTGTAGTTGTAGCTGTAGTGTAGTTGTAGTTGTATCTGTAGTTGTAGCTGTAGTAAAGTTGTAGTTGTAGTTGTAGTTGTAGTTGTAGTTGCAGTTGTAGTTGTAGTTGTAGTAGTTGTTGCAGTTGCAGTTGCAGTTGCAGTTGCAGTTGTAGTTGTAGTTGTAGTTGTAGCTGTAGCTGTAGTTGTAGTTGTAGTTGTAGTGGCGCTTGTAATTGCAGTTGTGGTTGTAGCTGTAGTTGTGGTAGTTGAGGTGTAGTTGAAGTGCAGTTGACAGTTGAAGTTGAAGTTGTAGTTGTAGTGTAGTTGTGGTTGTAGTTGCAGTTGTAGGTGTAGTGTGGTGTATAGTTGTAGTGTGGTGTAGTGCAGTTGCAGTTGTCTATCTAACTACCTGCCTATCTGATAGTCTATCTATCTATCTATCTACCTGTCTGTCTATCTATCTATCGATCTATCTATCTGCAAGTTTGAAAACGAAGCTAGTCTGCGAGACATCCGCAATTTTTGAACTTGACAACATCAAAAAAATCAAAAACGCAGCAATTCTGCGAGGCTTCCTCAACTTTTGGACTTGACAACATCCAAAACGAAGCAATTCTGCGAGACGTCTTCAATTTTTGAACATGACAACATCAAAAACAAAGCAATTCTGCGAGACTTCCTTCAAAAATAGAAAGTTAAGTGCAGCGCTGACAGCCTCGTACCAATGCGTTTTGCGATTTTTCCATTCCACCTGTCTAAAGTATTGCGCCTGCCACGAAAAAGTGATGCCAGGTCGTACGAAGTGCTGCACCTGTCACGCAAAATCATCTTCCCAAAACTGAAGATCTGATGCTCCAAAATGCAACCCCTCTCAGGAAATCAGCGTCCTCACCTCCTAACATCTCTGATGAACACGTCTCTTGTACTGCGCATTCCACGGAAAATGCATCTTGCCAGATCCTCTTCAAATGTCCCACGCCTGCCATTGTTTTTGGAAAGCTACAAAACCCTCACGTTTTGCTCACTTTTGACAAGGTGCCCAATCCCAAGGGCCTGCCACGCAAAACCACATTTGAAACTCCAAAAGCTGTCCGAGCATGTGGTGTTTTTATGTGTTTTTGACATTTTGACTTGGAAATGTGCTTCGTGCCACAATGGCGTGCACTTTTTCAACACCACAACTTCCAAAAGTGCTCCGAACCCAGTGTGCTTTGTACATTTTGACTTCGACATGTGCTTCGCGCCACAACGGCGTGCAAATTTTTCAACATCTCAACTTCGAAAAATGCTCCCAACGTGCAGTGTTTTGTATATGTTGACTTCGACATGTGCTTCTCGCCACAACGGCGTGCACCATCTCAACTTCCAAACGTGGTCTGAGACCGTCAGTTTTTTACATTTTTGACTTCTTCGCGCCACAGGGGCGTGAAGTTTTTCCTCTCCCATCTCCCCAGATGGCTCTGCACCTGCTGCTTTAGCGAGCCTACTTTTCGCCCCTCCCGAGCCACAAATCACGGAAAAACACAGTGTTTCGCGACTTTGCTACCTTTTCGCGCGCCTGCATCTTCTTTCTTCTGTTTCTTCTGACTCTTTCTCTTCTCTGATCTTCGTTCTGCTTCTCTTCTCTTCTCTGAGTCTTCCCACCTCTGCTTTTTCATCTGTCCATATTGTCGGGAGGTTGACTTCTAAACTTCCTTCGATAATCATATCCGACTCATTTGGGGGGCCAGTAATTTTTTCGCCATCCTTTCCTGATGCCAGGAACAGTTTCAGGAATTTTTGGCTGGAAAAGAGTTGAAGTTTGTGGATGACTCCTGTACGGCACGCCTGGAGACGGTCGTACGATTTGTGTTTGATGTGATCCAAATTATAGGCAATCAGCAAACAAAATGATGAACCGATGGATATGATGGATGAAGATGGAGATGTTGGGGGATGGAATGGTGGAACACGGGATCACGGATGGCACCGTCGCATATTCGTCGATCCCAAGGTCCACCCTTTGATGAGAACGCGTTCCTCAAAGGCCTTGAAACTCTGAGCCAAACCGATAAGGAAAAGGAGGCGGGGCACAATGCCTTGCGCAGCAGGACTTGCGCAACATTTGGACCACCACTTTATTCGGCTGCCAGGGGAAGAAGAAGAAGAAGGCAAAGCAAAGGCAGCGACCAGAACAAAATTCTCAAGCATCAACATTTGGAGCATCCAATCTTCCCGTTGAAGGTGCCTCCCCTTCACAGAACGACAATCCTCCCAGGCGAAAGAAAACGCAACAACAAGGAGAAGTGCAAGGCGTTGGCATTGCTGGTTAAGAAGAGTCAAAATGCAAAGACCTCTTTGCGACTTGGGTCTGGGCCAAGAACGAAGTACCAATGGACCGAATGGAAGCACAAGATTGGTCATGTTTCACTACAATTGATTCAATTTTGGGGCAATAACTTTTGACCCACACCCACATACCAACATTTGAACGGCCAAACCTGCAGAACTCGCGCCAAAAAGTGAAGATGGCCAATCAAACCATGTGACGAAGGGTGAGAGGCTGGCTTTGGGCAATCAATAGCCCTGCATGTTGTTTGCTCTTGACAACCCCAGAAAACCAGAACAGAGTTTATTCTTCTCATGTTTCGTTGCATCTCGCTCCTGAAACGAAGAGTAGCAGGAGCAAAGACATCACTCCTGCGCCTGGCCCAACGAAGGCACCAAAGAGGACGTGGTATGTTGCCAGATGTGTTTGTGTAGAATCATTTGAATGTTTGTCATGTAGCCCATGCGCGGTCTTTCGGCCTTTTTCACGGAGGTTTGCTCTTGGCATTATTGGGTTCAACGTACAGCTGATGCACACTTGCAGAACTGTCTCTTGAATAGAACGTCATAGAAGATCATCGCAGATCATGCAAGATCAAAGAATATTATGGAGACACTGGACATTTGGAAAGAGACTGCAGTACTTGTTCAATTCGTGGTTGACCTGCTAAACTGTGAATGGAATGTCGCAAAGACATTTTTTTTGGCAGGAAAAAGGCAACAGCTGCTGTGCCCAGCCCAAGTGCGGCGCCAAAGAGGAGTAGAAACTACCGAATTGCGGCAGCATACCAAGATGTGGCGTTCGTTACAGCAGGAACCAACTAGGCACCTCCCTGATAAGAAAAGGAACTCAGCAATGACTTCTGACAAGCTGGTTTGCCTGCGTGCGCCTGTGTAGCAAGATCCTACAAAGGTTCCAATGGGAGTAGCATTTGTGTGTGCTTTGTGGCACCATACATCTTCGGGTTGTTCGGGACAATAGGAGACCGGAAGATACCAGAACAGAGTTTATTCTTCTCATGTTGCATTGCATCTCGCTCCTGAAACGAAGAGTAGCAGGAGCAAAGACATCACTCCTGCGCCTGGCCCAACGAAGGCACCAAAGAGGACGTGGTATGTTGCCAGATGTGTTTGTGTAGAATCATTTGAATGTTTGTCATGTAGCCCATGCGCGGTCTTTCGGCCTTTTTCACGGAGGTTTGCTCTTAGCATCATTGGGTTCAACGTACAGCTGATGCAGATTCGCGGAATTGGCTCTTGAATAGCACATCATAGAAGATCATCGCAGATCATGTAAGATCAAAGAATATCATAACACAAGACATTTGGAAAGAGACTGCAGTACTTGTTCAATTCGTGGTTGACCTGCTAAACTGTGAATGGAATGTCGCAAAGACATATTTTTTTTGGCAGGAAAAAGGCAACAGCTGCTGTGCCCAGCCCAAGTGCGGCGCCAAAGAGGAGTAGAAACTACCGAATTGCGGCAACATACCAAGATGTGGCGTTACTTGTTCGTTACAGCAGGAACCAACTAGGCACCTCCCTGATAAGAAAAGGAACTCAGCAATGACTTCTGACAAGCTGGTTTGCCTGCGTGCGCCTGTGTAGCAAGATCCTACAAAGGTTCCAATGGGAGTAGCATTTGTGTGCGCTTTGTGGCACCATACATCTTCGGGTTGTTCGGGACAATAGGAGACCGGAAGATACCAGAACAGAGTTTATTCTTCTCTGAAACGAAGAGTAGCAGGAGCAAAGACATCACTCCTGCGCCTGGCCCAACGAAGGCACCAAAGAGGACGTGGTATGTTGCCAGATGTGTTTGTGTAGAATCATTTGAATGTTTGTCATGTAGCCCATGCGCGGTCTTTCGGCCTTTTTCACGGAGGTTTGCTCTTGGCATTATTGGGTTCAACGTACAGCTGATGCACACTTGCAGAACTGTCTCTTGAATAGAACGTCATAGAAGATCATCGCAGATCATGCAAGATCAAAGAATATTATAGAG